GGAAAATGTCAGTCCTTTCCTTCCCATTCACTCCCATCCTCTTACTTGTTTCTCTAGGGAGATGGAGAAATCTTGGGATTGGATTCCCTCTTATTGGGATCTTGCTTTGTCCTAAATCTTAATCTTCACTTATTGCATAGTGACTGAATATATAGATCAAAGAGAGTATCCAGGCCAAGATATGGTTAATTGCTTATTTTAATTGCAGTTTAGTTTGCCTTTTTCATCTATGGCAGATGATTAGGAAGTTAGAGGCAAGCAGTTCTCTGAACAGCTCCTCATGCTGGTACTACATTGGAGCTGGAGAGAGAAGGGGAAAATATTTTAAAAGGGGGTGGCCTGTTGTGCCACACAGAGACAAATCTGACTCCCTTTCTCTTATGTTGCATTTGTCCTATATCTGTTTCTGAAATTCCATCTTTGTGGAGGAAAAAAGTTGCAGAAGTGATAGGATTGCAGTGACTAGGTCCATCTTCTCTGTCCATCTTGACAGTAGTCTTATAATCTTGGCTGACTCTTTGTATTAAGTGTCTGAGCAGCCTATTGCTTGATCTAAAATGACCTCAAGTTTATAACCTCTGTCTAAAGCTTCTATCCTAACAAAGGCTATGTTTACACTACAGCTGGGATTGACGCTCTGAGATCGATCCATCAGTGGTCGATTTAGCGGGTTTAGTGAAGACCTGCCAAATCGACAGCAGATCACGCTCCGGTCAACCCAATGAGAAGAGACCTAAGGTATGTCGACTCCAGCTACGTTATTCACATAGCTGAAGTTGCATAGCGTAGGTCAACTTACCACGGTAGAGTAGACATAACCAATGTATAAGCCAGTGGTGGTGTACTCTTAGGACAAGGTTTTATACTTCTCTAGGCAGCCTTTGCCAGTTCTTTTCTCACCTCTAAACAAAATCCCTATAGTTTTTACTGAAATCTATTCGTCGTAGCTGTTGTGCCTCCACTGTCTTTCATACTGTGATTGTAGTAATGAAACCACTTGAGCAAAAGATTACTCAATGATCCATCCTTTAGGGATTCTTATATTGACTGTTTCTAGTAACTCATGCTACAGTTTCTCTGTTTCTCTCCTAGACTTGGCTTTTGAGTTATGATGCCTATAGTGGCCTTTTGTCTGTAAAGGAGTACTGGAGAAGGGAGTGTTCTCTAGGGATATACAGGAGGCTGGAGTTTCATAATTCAGTTCTGGTCCTGACTATCTTTCTCTCACTAGCTTGCTATAACTTACCTGAATTTCTTTGTATCTGTGTTTGCTATCTGTGTAATGGACGTAATAATTGGATGATATGGGTGTCAAACTTTGTTTTTAAAGCACTTTACAGATGTGTTGGATGGATTTCTTAAAGGATATGCAAATCCATTCTTGGATCCATTTGTGCTCTGTTTATAATGCTATAGAACAGAGAAAACTAGCAGGTGAGAAAGCTTGAGGGAAAATTTCTCTCTATAAAACACCTTGCTAAAGAACTGATCTGATTGGTCTTTCATTTCCCTTCACAAAAGGATAACTTACAGGCAGGCATTTAATTGTGTACGTTAAATTTTTTTTAAAGCACTTAAGTATCATTTTCAAAAGTGACTTAAGTTCCATCAACTTTCCATCAACTTTCATTGGGATTTTGGAGCCTGAAATCACTTATGTGCTCTTGAAAATCTTGTCCCAGGTTACAGATCTTGTCAGTTTGGGAAGCAGGAAAAATCGGAGCTGACCATTGGATGGAAATAAAACGTACATCCGAAATTTAAAAAATACTAAAGTTGTGATGTTGATGGGAATTCCATTATCTTGTAAGCAGCTGTTGTAACATCACTTAGCCATTCATTGGAGAGAGTCTTAAGGAAATGCTGAAGCAATGAGATGGGTAAAGGCTGAAACCGTTTTAAAATTGTAAGATAGCGAAGCTAGACAGTAATTGGCTGACTGAGATGGTTCTGGAGAGCTGGAGCCTGAGCCGGTGAAAGGTCAGAGCTGGCTTGCATGGGCTGGAACACTACATGCATATTTGCAACCAAACTTAAGAGACGTAGAAGATAGAAATGGCAACAACTGATGTGCTTGTATTTTGGATAGCTTCCCTGGAGAACAGCCCAAATAACCATTCCTCTTTTTAAAAAAAACAAAAACAACCTCCAAACATTGCTCTGTATATTGATAGGCAATAAAACACAACCTTGACGTTAAGTCCAAAAATAGCAGTTTTCCACTGGTCAGTACAAAACCAGTTCTGGGGAGGGGAAAAAAAAAAAAAGGGAGCGACTTTGAATTCCTTCCAGAGTGGTACTTTTGTGTAAGTGATTAGTTTTAAAGAATGTGTAGAGTCTGTGCAATTCTGAAAGATAGCCTTGTATATTCTGTTGTCTTCCTTCTTCTTAGTTATGGGGTGAGCTTCACATACAGTAACAGATTTAGACTTGGATCAGTGAGGGAGTGAATTAACTATTTGGAAATGAGAACAGGCTTTTCAGCTTTGGGTCAGTCCAATAAATCAAAATCCTAAATGCATATCTTTAGTACCTCATTTTGAGGATATAAATGGTGAATTGTACTCTGTGCTTGGTGTCATGAAAACATGTTCTTTGAACAGTGTGTCTGGAGGATTATGTTGTATTAAAATGAACATTGTTCAAGATTAACTGTTTATATTTGGGAAACCGCACTAGTAAGAACATTACTATATAATGGTTTCTGAGGTACTTTGATTATAAGCTCATGTTCTGTGGCACTCAAAACTGTTTAACGTCTCTCAACTCTGTCCCCCTCCGATTTTTTTTAACACAATATCCTTGCTGTGTGTTTTTAAAGGGCTGGAGTGGATGAGGTATTTATGTCTATACGCTAATGTTAATTGCAGACTTGTTAAGTAATCCAAGATTGCATGTGTGTGTTAAACAAAATGTTTTGTCAAATGTCCTAAACAAGAAGCTTTAGACCCTTGGTCTAGAAGTTTGGGCTGAAAGCTGCTGAAAAAAAGATTTCAGTGCTGTGTGTATTAAAAGAAAACAAAAAAACCTTACACCTCTGAACAAAGCAGTTTGATTTTTAAATTGGCTTACAACAAATGACAAACGTTGTACCAATGAATCAGTTAGCTCATATAAAACCAAACCTTGTAGTTGATATATCCATCATTCAAATTGCTTTTGCTTTTAAGAACTAGATGTCTATTACATGGAACTCTTGAACATGGTGTGCTTTAATGGCTGTTAAAGTTTACATTTGAAAGATATATTTTTGTGCATTCAGCATGAAATAAAAATCTTGTGTAAAACTTCAAACCATGAAGACTGAGTTGGTCTATTCTGTACTGTCAAGAACTATTTGGTTAGAGAGCTAGATATTTTCCTCCCCTCCCCCCCCCAAAATCTGATTGTTAGAAAAATGAAATCAGAAGGTGGCAATTCACTCACCAAAAAGCCCTTTTTGTGAATGTGGCAAGTTAAAAGGAAGCTTGCTATTGGAGAACAAACTGTGCCTGTTTTTGCCCAGCCCTGCAGTATGAAAACTCACAGGATAATATGAAATATTTATTACAAATAAACTGAAATGTCTTGTCTTGTTCTGCCTACAAACTGGCTGGAGACAGCCATCTTGGTGAAAAAAGGTGTCTTGAGAACAGTGCAAACTTAGAATAGGATCTAAGCTATATAACTTAAAGTCCACTAAAAAATGGCATGGTATTATGTTGGAACCCACACTGCCAGTGTTAAAGCTCTGTTTCACAGCAACATGAACACCTCTAGGAGTCCATTAAAAATGTCAATGGCAATTTAAAATTAAAATTAATTAAAATTGCCAACTTCTAATGTGAATGCCAACTACATGACTGAGCAAAATGGCACTGGTTCTTTAAGGTTATGTGGTAAACACACAAACCTGTCCCATGAGTCTTGAAAGAAAAAAAAATTTTTTTTTTGTACCTAGAGTTCTTGGGCATGGAGACAATGATCTGTAAATCAGTCTAGTTTACTTCAATAGAATATGCTGTATGCGCTTTCTAATACAGTTTTTGGCTTCCATGCTGAATAACTCCTTTCTAAGCTTTGAGGGGAGGTGTGGCCAGCTCTCCATGTGCGACATATCAAAAAAACATCATTGTTTGTTGGGTAAGTTCCTGTTTCTTTTTACATGGCAACCATCAAAGTTTCCTAAGGTATTCCCCCAGGCTCTGTATCAAGAAAACTTTGTAAAACACTCCATCTATTAAATAATCTCCACAGTGCTCCCACCTCCTCCTTCTTAAGACAGTTTCATATTCCAGCAGACTTTTCTTGTAGCTCTTACAGTACATTATGTATTTCAGGTCATGGCTAATAAGTGAAATAGACCTGCAGGTCTCTGCAGTACTTTAGGGGGGGAAATAATTTGGGTTGAGGGATAGGAGTGCACTATTGAATTGAAGGACTTTCAGGTGTGTGGGTGTAGGTGTGTGTAACCAAAATTATTTCAGCTTTTCCATCCTGCCAAATCTTTCAGTTAATCTTCATTAAAACTGCCTTTTGTGGGGCTGAGTTAGTCTAACTTTCTCAGGGGTAGGATGTGACGTAACTGATGTCAGTATCCAACTGCTAAAGACAGGTGGAAAGAGATGTCAATACTTAACACAGTTTCAGGCATGTGTCTGCTTCAGTAGATGTTTGGATAATACAGTGATGGGGTGGGAGTTGCTTATAAGCTGCTAAACAGAAAATATTGTAGTATACATTTGATATAGGTCTTTATTTTTATTCTTTGCTATCTGACCATGTCGTTGTAAAAGTGTTTCTCCCCATCCCCCACCAGATATATAGCTTAAACAAGGAAAGTTTTTGTTCCTTCATACATTTCTCCTTGCAATGGAGCATATTTTGGATCCCCTTCTGAATTGTCCTCCCACAGGACTACTGACTTGTGCCACTGTAAGCTTCATGTACTTTTAAGTTCAAGTTCCTTTACACTTTTATTTTTTGATCACTGACTCTGTTTTATCTGAATCATTCTGTAGGGCTGCAAGGTTCTCGTTGATGCACGGGACAAACTAGGGATTCCTTGGCAGTACACGGAGAACGAGAAGCATGGAATGTTTTTGATGGCTTTTGAAAACAAAGCTGGAATGCCTATAGAGCCTGCCACATTCCAGTTGTATGTACCTGCACTGAGCGCACTGTGGAGGGATTCTGGGATCAAGGAAGCTTTTAGCCGTCGGAGCGAGTATCAGCTGGTAAGTATATTCAACTGTATGCTGATTGAAGAGTTGTAAATGGGGTTTTTTTCAGTCTGAATCCAGTTGAAGAACAGATTGCTAAACCCGGTGTGTGGCCATAATACAAGCAAGCTGTAGCAATGCTATAAATCTGAGCGTGCTATAGCAGCAGGAATGAGGAGTAATTGGAGCCAAACTGAAAAAAACTATGGGAAAGAGTGGAATAAGTGGACTAGACTGGAAGAACAAGAGGAACCAAAAAAGGCAGGAAATGATTGAACAAAAAAACCCCAAAAACCTGAGTTGCTCAGTTGGGCTGATCATAGTAGGCCACTGATTAGTGCACACTTTTTTTTTTATATTTGTCCACTTTTGCCAACTTGTATTATATTGATGCTGGCAGGCTACTACTATTTGCAGATCAACTCTTTTGAAGTTAATGTGATCCCTTTCCAAGCTGTTCTTGGATTTTTTTTTCCTTTCCTTTTTTATATCTGCAAGTTGCACTCGAGGCAGCATTTGGATGTCAGCCTAAAAACAATAACTGTTTTCCCCTGTTTTCCTTTAAAAACAGACTTCTAGAGTTCAGCTCAAAACTCATTGCATAATATAAAATGCAGGTATGATAAGAAAGCACTTCTGATATTGAACATTTTTGTCTTTGATATGAATGAACATATATCTATTATGCCTGTTGGAGCAGTTGATGGCCACCCTTTATTCTCCTGTCTTGTCTTCTTCCCTACCTTCTCCACTCCTCTTCTCCCCTCCCAGCCCCAAATAATGAGGCGGTTGTTGAGGGACTATAGCCTCTTTTGGCTGATTGGGGTTTTTTGGTTGTCGCTAACCTCAAGATGTGCCTACCTATTTGGGTTCAAACAGTGGTATGATAACTAAAATCTGACCAGTCACTTAAGTGGTTTAGCTTCCATGCTTATATGTTAAGTTATGTTCCATGTTTCTCACTCTGTAACTTCACAGAAAATATTTCCTTTTTTTCATTGAAAAGAGATGTTATGACTTCCTAAAATTGGGCATAAGAGGGACTTTTATTCTAAATAGTGTTTTCCTTGCTTTGCTGCTATAAATAACATTCTGTTCAAAGAAAGGAATTTAATTCTGTGTGATGGAGAATGTGACTTCTTATGTGAGAATTGCCAGATGCAAAGGTGAGCCCAGTAGCAGTGAATTCCAAGTTGGGGCCTCACCTTACTATATTACACTCTCAGTATTACCACTTTCCTCAGAGAGGAGGAGAAATGCCATTCCATCTCCCTTCTCTCCCCTCTGAGCAACCATAGTGTTTGAGGCTGACAGGACGGGGAGAGAAGCAAAGTCAAGTGCAGAATTTTAGATTTAAGCAAACATAAAAATTGGAAATGAACAAGTACTCTAAAGACTCCCTTCTGGGTGCTGCTGTGATCCGAGACATCTTTAACATTGGGTTTAAGAGCCTCTCTTCCATCCGGTAGGGATTGTAATTCTCCAGATTTGAGATTAGTTTGTGTACTTTTAAGGTCTGGAATGGGAAATTGTTACTTGTGCAGACTTCCACCCCCACACTGTCAGCTCATAGTTAAGGAGGAAATAAGCAGTCCAAAATAATCTTAGTCCTTTTACATCCTAGGCATTGACGTGTAAAAGTAACAGATATTGTAATGTCATGCAACTGACAGTAATGTAACACTAATTTACCTAGACCAGGAATAGCATTAAAACATATTCTTTGCCTATATCAGAAATGATTCTTTGTCTTCCCTTGCACCATGCTCTTGTGCTCACAGATACACAAGTCTGCGATGTTTTTGTTAGCACTTTCATACAAGGAAGCAAAGTGGCCCTATAACTCTGCTCTTTTTCTAAGGAGTCAAGTTTTTGGCTTAATTTCAATATCTTCATAAAATATAATATGCCATTCTTTATATTCTCATTGTTGCCTGACTCTGGAAAAGCGTTTCTGAAAACTAATTGCATAAATAAACTCTGAAGTTCTTGAAATGGAATGTGCTTGAAGTTTAAGGGCAGGAATTACAGCATTGCTGTGTCTTCCTTTTTTGGCCCTAAAAGGAATAACTGGAATTAATGGAATAGCTTATAACAAGATTAAAACAAACATTTCTGTTTAGCTGTGTCTTTTAGTAGTAAGGGTCAATGCCAGATTGTCAAAGCTCTGATTTTTGTGCCATTACAGTTAAGATTGTCAGTACTTCCATTATATCCCTTTTCCAGAAATTTTAACTTTTAACTGTAAAATTGTGCTTTTGCTGAAACATGACTTAAAAGTTCTCGGATCAGGAGTGACTCTCTTAAAATAGCTAGAGAGCTTTTTCAGTTTTAGTAAGTTTTTTGCATTCCTCAAAGAAAAGGCTGTATATTCTATTTCACTATGTGTGGTAATGCATTTATTTATTTTTGTTTTATTTAAAACAAAACACACAAACAACCAAACCCTTGCCAATGTACCTCAGCACCACAACTAATAGTCCTTGGAAATGTATTTAGAATAAGTTGTTAAAATACCTGGGAAATATTTATGAATTAATCTTGTATATTTTCAGCATACCTAAACATCCTTTAATTTGCAGATTGAAGTCTTTCATGCAGGTGTCCGGCTTGCCAACCTAACTCTGTAAATTATTATCTTCTTAAAATGTTTTCTTATATTTGCTAATCCTAAATAACTGAGACTGCTTAGACCTAAATGCTTTATGACCACTTGAGCTGTGATAGTAGGATTGGAAACTCACCCCTTGTAATTGGCTGAAGTTGGTTACAGGAAAAACAACCTTTGAATATTACACGGTGACTAAGTATATTGCGGGGGCAGGGGCAGGTGGCAGAGTGGAGAACGGTTACATAGGTCAGAGGCTTCCTCCACATCACTGAATAGCAATGAAATTGTATTATATTGGAAAGACTAGTTCCTTGATACAAGAGGTTTTTCAAGACACTAAATTAAGGCTGCTTTTGCATTCTTGAACTGCAGCTACAAGCTTAAACAAACAGAAGGCAGAGATGCATGCTAAAGACACCAGATCTCCACCTTTATGTTGAAGTCAGTAGTATTTGTAACATCTAATGCAGAGATTCCCAAACTCTTTTTGCGGAGCTCCTCCATTCAGAGTCATGTTCCATGCATGGGGAGGGAGAAGGAGGGGTGCCCAGTACCCATAGGAGGGTCCATGGGGGTATTCACCACTGGGAGCTGAGGAAGTGTTTTGCTCCCTGCAGTGGTCAGGTGATCTCAGCTCTTGAGTCCTGGTTCCCTGCCTGTCCTTGCTCCTTTCCCCCCCCCGCAGGGAAAATTACCAGGGCTGTGGTCAAGAGGGGCGTGGAGTACTGTCCCCCTCCCCGACCACTGGACACTGCCCCATCCTGATCCTGGTACTTCAGTATGGTCCTGTCTGCTTTCCCTGTGCAGACTCTGTCGAGAGAGGCAAGGGGACAGGGCTCTGCGCACTGAAGGGTTGGGGTGAGCAGCGGGCTGTGTCAGGCAGGAGTATCAGTACTCCTGGGGTGCAGCCCCCCCGGCCTTCCCAGCAAAGGAGTGTGACTGCTGGTTGGTGGCTGCAGCAATGGAGGAATGAGATGGGCAGGGAGCTTTGTCCCTTCAGCCAAGACCGCTCGGACAGAGTGCCCCTCCCTCCCCCCCAGACTCCCAGCCCTTTAGTGCTGACCTGTCAGGTCCTTGTGCCCTCCAATAAACTCATCAGTGCACCCCACAGTTTGGGAACCTCTGATCTAAATTGGTTATGTAGAAATATATTATATGGATACTAAGGGAAACAAAACTGTTATGGGCCCCAGAACTATTACTTGGGAATATTTTATATATAAAGGCATAGATGTAACCTGTAGCTGTACAGAATACTACTTGTAACCTGGCCTGCTGTGAATAACATAATTTAAGACAAAAGACAGCAATTCAAAGCAATTCAGTATCCACTATAATGCATGATATGGCACACAGATACAATCGGAATGATGCCTTAAATATAAGTGAATTATAGTTTATTGCATTAAAGCTTCATAAGTGTACAGTAGGAACTTAGAATTATGAACACCAGAGTTACGAACTGACTGGTCAACTAAATACCTCATTTGGAACTGGAAGTATGCAATCAGGCGGCAGCAGCAGAGATAGGAGTTGGGGGGAAGCAAATACAGTACAGTACTGTGTTAAACATAAAACACTTTTAAAAAAAATATTTTAAAGATTTGACAAGGTAAGGAAACTGTTACTGTGCTTGTTTCATTTAAATTAAGATGGTGAATAGCAACGTTTTTCTTTTGCACAGTAAAGTTTCAAAGCTGTATTAAGTCAATGTTCAGTTGTAAACTTTTGGAAGAACAACCACAACATTTTGTTCAGAGTTACAAACAGTTCAGAGTTACTAACAGCCTCCATTCCCGAGGTGTTCGTAACTCTGAGGTGCTACTATATGTGGTACATGGAATTAAAATATTTTTGAGGGCATAGGTACTAGTTTTCAGATTGATACATTACTAGACAAGTCCTTTCAAAAATAATCTTGCTGCTTAATAAATTGAATGGTTCTGCTTCACCTCTTGTTGGCTCTTAAGGCTATTCATGCCATGCCTAATCTCATTAGGTTGTAGCAAAAGGCTGATAGCTGAGGTCATGAAGATTGGAAGTAGCTTGTGGTCTGGCTTTTTTGTGTTTAACACCCACAATTTTTCAACAAGCAAATGCTATAAAGTGGAGGGCTTATTTATAACCCCATATTGTAGATACTAGTTTAGATCTTGTCCCTACGTGGGCACTTAAATTGGTCTACATAGATGTAAACCAAATTTAACATGTCTCTGTTGATTTATAGGTCTTGTATATATGAGAAACTGAATTGGTTTAACTAAAGGTGTGACTTTAAACTGACTTGGTTAAATAGAATTATCCACATAGAAGTTTGCTCCTTAGTTCTTTTTAGTTTAAACCAATTACTGATTTAAACTGAAGTAAGCCTGATTTTTAATCTTAACTGAAACAAGTGCCTGTA